CAGAATTCCCAGTGCTCTGTGGAATTACTTGGGATTTGTGCTCTTACTGATGAGCATAACCCTAGCACCGCTGAAAAACTTGATAGGTCAAAGGTTACCACAATACACAACTTAAGCAATTTTAAACATATATTACTGTCATGCAACTGGGGCAGAGATCGAAGAATGATATAAATTTTGCGAGGGAGTCATCACCTGCGCATGCGTCAGATGGCCATAAAGTGTCAGTTTACAAACAAGCATCTACCCATGAGCCTTTGCGTTTTTAGAGAGTGTTGTTATCATTGCTTGGGACTCAATTCCCGCATGTGCACAGGTGACGACCCTCTCGCTTTGAATTATTTTTCTGGTTTATATTTCTATTTACACAAACAAACAAAGCAGGTAGATATTTTGCATCTACTCCTCCTGCACAGACAACCCAACCCTGGTCTAAGAATGGCAATGACAACACTTTGGAGTGGTACAAGATATATTTGTCACTATTCCATACAGATAAACAAGCTTGCTTGCCTTGCAATGATACTTAAAAAAAAAAGTCTTCCGCTTCAGCAGGAATTATAATTCGCATTTACGGTTACATTTTATAATAATTTTAAAATAGTTACTGTAAGACAATTTAATTTCACTATTTTGATCTATTTTACTGAGTTTTAATTTCAAGCATTCGTCAAGAAAATAATGAGTTCTATTGTTATTTTACATGTTTACAAGGATATAATTAACAGATTTCACTCATTAGCATAAATAGCTAAATTAAAAACTGGTGAATAATTAATGTGTTGACAGTAATTGGCCGAACAATTAACGCAACATGCTTTTCAGTCAAAATTCTCTTGAAAAAATTTCGCTTTCTTTCTTCTTCTAGAATTCCAATTTCATGTTTGGGAGTACTTTTATATAACCAAATATGTCTTTAAAATCAGGCTTGAACATGTTGATAACCATACAAATATATTTCCCCCAGGACTGGGCGACGCAGGCAAGATTTATTGCCGCAGGTAATCTAAAGTGTGTTCCTTGATGCGAGGACACGCCCATCAACAAACACATACATAGACAGCATTATCTCACCTTTATCTTGTTTTATCTGCTATAACTTCCATGGATTGGAGTCACCACAGCACCAGGTCACTACACATACCACACTTCAACACTGCCATGGCGATGCTTTACGGTAGCCATGGTGATTTGCAGATCAACATCTTGAATTATTGACTTAAGGTATTTGCACTAATCCAACCAACAAAACTGAAAACTTCAAAACATTGGAAACCCCTGAACATATAGGCCAATAAATTCATCTAGCAGATGGATATGACGATGAAAACAATTCACAAATGTTTATCACTAGGGTTAGCCTTAAGTACTTAAAATATCAACTGGGAACAGATCAACAAGCCACTCGTATAACCTGTAACACTTCAGACACCAAAACAGCTCAGTAGATAATATCTATTGTAGATTTTTTTTTTCATTTGTACTCATCCAATTTTATATAACTGGAAAAGATTAATATTACTAATTAATTTTGGCATACAACAGTACTGTAAAATACTTAATTTTCGCTATTTTCGCTGAAGGACCTTTTCCCCCCATATATTTTACATTCAGTGAAATCAGTAAAAAAAAACTCCATACAAAATACCCGAAAATGTCTTTTCACCGAAAATTAATTCCAGCTAAAATAAAGTGTTTTACAGTAGTTTAAATGGTTGGTTCTCATAATCACTAAAGTAGTGTGTTCAAATTTCATGTAAACAGAGGACGTTTACACGTTGTAAGCATCGTATGTGACTCATATCGAAAATGATGTGACAACTGAGAAATTTATTTTCATACCACAGGATGGGTACAAATAAAACTACACCAATATATTTTGTTTACATTTTTAAGCCATCTAAACCAAAAAGAGAAAGAGAAAGAGAAAAGAGAAAAAAGGAAACTGTCCTAAAACCAAAACCTGTATATTGAATGCCTGTCTTTAAAGCGAGAGGGTCGTCACCTGCACACGTGCGGGAATTGAGTTCCAAGCGACGATAATAACACACGCTAAAAACGCAAAGGCTCATAAGTCTGACGTATGTGCAGGTGACGACTCCCTTGCTTTAAACCAAACTGAGAGAAGTAGATATCTGTTCAGCTGAAATGTTTCAAAAACTGTAATAAGAATGAACTGGAAATCAAAGTAAACTGCAAACTTGGGTCAAACATAAAAACTATTTCTTCATGACCCGTACAGCCCTGTAACCTGAATAATTTATCAAATTTGTATTTAATGTTCGGTTTAGACATCCTTGACTGCTGTGCCTTAAAGTGGGGCAGTTCCATTTATACCCGGGTCTTCCACACACCTTTGTTATATTTCAGATGCATGTCTTGTTATTACAACGGCGTAAAGGAGCATGTATGGCGCCACAAATACCCTGACACCACCTCGTGTGAACTCAAGTCAAATATTTCAAGCAGAAAATAAAACCATTTTGTGTTTCATTAGTTTGAATAGACAATTTAAGATTTGTGAAAACGTGCCATGGTAATTTTTAATCCCGTAAACTAATTATCGCTAAACTTTAAATTTTTTATTGTATAGTTTTATATTTTGAAAAGTGCTAGGCAAGTTTTCACACAGACTAAAATTGGGACAATTTGTTCTTTTTTATAAAATTCAATGGAATCATCAATCTTTTCACCACCAGACTTTTCCGCCCAATTTTTCAGCACTTTTTTCATAAATTCCCCAATATTTCCGGAAATGAACCCCAATTTTGGAGCCAACAGACAAAATCTTAGTCAATTATCAGTTTTTACTCAACAAAATTTACTATTTTTGTCCCAATATTCTCAAGGAAAGTCAGACTATAAACGGGACTATTTTGGGAGTTTGTGATAAAAGAGGGAACTGGTTGTGAAAAGGTTAAGATAAGT